ATTACAGGGCAACGCCAGAAGGAAACTTATGTCCCGTCGGATGGGACAGCATACTTTTCCCTGTAGGCTGGCGATAAAAGTCGCCTTTGCCTGTTTACGGCTGCAACAGGTCACAAATGGTACCCCGGTGAAAGGAGACTTTCCGCTAACGGAGACTTAAGTGGCCAATAGGAAAGGAGACTTTGCTTGTCTCCCTTCTCGGGGAGACAACGGCCGAAAGTCGCCTTTTGGAAAGGGAGACAAGTGCAGAAGTCTCCGTTTCAATTTACAGTGCACCTACTCCCCGCGCAACGTGCGCTCTGTTTTATCAAGGTTTAACGCGAAATTGGACGAAAATCCCGCGTTGTTGGCGAAGCTTGACTGGGGGATGGGGGGATAGCGGGAATACGCGCAACGGGCCGAACAAACGGGGGCGGCCTATAAGGGCGGGGATGGGTCGGGTCGCGCGGGGGTGTGAAAGAGAGGGGACGCGCACCGCTTGTGTGAGATTATACACGATGAGGAACATCTGTTTCTGTAACGCAATCGTGTTTTGTTTTCAATGGGGAGGCCTCTTCCCCCGCCCCTCCTCCCCCTGATGGATGGGAAATCCACCCCCGCACAGCCTGGCGTCTACCCCCCCCCCCTTCCCCCACTCCACCCCTGCGGCGTCGCGCTCCGCTGGCCACCGCGCACACCCCAGGAGAGGAGGACCCCTCCCCGGCGTGCCAACATCGCGGGGTAATGAGTTCATGTTGCAGACTATTTGATACGTCCCCCCGCGGCCACCAGGACCCGTCAGGGACCCCGCACCCGCCCCGACTAATGGTCCACTTGTCGGCCTTAGGGGTTTTCATTTTCCAGAAAAAGTATTTTGGGGACATTTTGAAAAATAATTGTTTTTCAAGATGTCTCAATTTTTTCTTGAAAAGTTTTTTTTTTTAATATTTTTCTGGGAATGTTTCATTTTTTTCTGGAAAAGTTTCCAATGTTTTCGGAAAAATTTGGGACGTCATAACCCTGGTTGGCCCGGCCGTGCGCGCCGCGGCCCTGCTTCTAGGAGGCGAGCGCCGTGCGACACCATAGTCCGCGCCCACACTGTAAATTGAAACGGAGACTTTGGCCCTGTCTAAGCTGACGGGCAAAATGTCTCCTTGTACAGGGGGACCGCCTCCCGGAGTCACCCTGAACGTATGGACGAAAACGTCCCGCTACGGGGAGACTTTTGTGTCCCTTTCCCGGGTGACTACGCGTCACCAC